GTGGGTGGTAAATCAGAGTGATACACAGAAACAGAAACATGTGCCAGTTTCAACACCTCTGATATTGCTAAATGTTACAGGGTTCCTGTTTTGCAGTTGCATTCACTGCCTTGCTCAAGGATAGTGTTCCTGTGTCCAGAGGAAAGGGAGAAGAGAAGAGAAAAAAAAAAAACACTGGAGCAAAATGTCCAGCAAATGTGTTTAATATGAATATTTATTTAAAAATCCATAGTTCGATACAGAAATAGTCATCTATTATATGTATTATCAGACAATCAGTACTTCAGTCATGCTTTCTCTGATTAATCACGGTTTCAAAAAAGTACAAGATCATTTTTTTTCCTATAATTGAACCTGTGCAAAGAAAATACACTAGAAAGCAATAGAAACACTGACACAAAATAGATAACGATTAATTCTTTTAAACAATTCATTTTTCTGAAGAAGGCATCGCACAATTCCAAGAAAATCAGTGAAAGATTTAAGGCCATTTTGTACAGTTAATTTTCATATAGATTTCTATATTTCAAAACACTCAGTTTTTAACAAAAGGAACTGGTGCATCCTTTGTAAAACTGTACATGCAAACATAGTGCACGTTGTTAAGAAGATATGACAAGCATACAATATATTATTTGGATAGCTTTAGTAAACAAAGATCTTATGTGGAACACCTCACATGGTCTATTAAAACTTTCTTATAAAGGTGCCTCACAGGCACACACACACACAAAGTATACTTGTATCAAACACATGCGCGCACACACACACACAAACAAACAAACACACACACAGACACACACACACACACACTCACAGCTTCATGGGGCTTGGCAAAGTTAGTGAACTGTTGCACTATGATTAAAAACAAAAAGTATATTTAAAAATAAAACATATATATAAATGTGTATTTTTGTCCACCGCAAACATCATACACCTACTACTGTAGCATTAATTGTGTGTTTGTATGGAGGCAAAGAAAAGCCAAAATAATTTAAATTTTATAAGCAACTGAATACATGTTGAAAATTAATATCCCTGACTTCACTGCACTGAAATATTTTACTTGGACACAAATTTATCAAAATTGAATTCCTTTCTAATTTTGAAATTTCAACAATGTTCAACAATATTTTTTGGGTTCAAAAGTTTAAATAGAAAATTAAACTGTTTGGGATTTTCAATCATTTATCTGAAGTCTTTCTAGGATCACAGACTGACCGATCATCACCTGATTGATTCCATTCAGGCTGATTCTTCACTGATTACCTCTGGTAACCGTTTGTTTACATTTTTCATCTTTGAATTTTGCAATTTGGATTTCTCAAATCCAATTTTAGCAACTTGATTTTTTGACTTAAATTTCTCGAACAAAACAGAATTGAAGCAACCTGAATGTACTTATTCGAATAGCCCTAAAAACCCTAAAAATAAACAAACTTGAAACTAAAAGGGAGAATCCAAGCCACATAAATTTAGACTGATGGAAAATATTTAATTTCAGTATATAAATTCAGTAGAATTTAAATTTCAAATTTGAGTTTTTCGTCATGATTTAATTTTCCAGGTATTCAGTATTTATTCAAGTACTTATGGCTTTTTTTCTTGCTCCCATACTGGGTCCTGTCCTGGTCGACAAGCCTTGTTGAGGAATTCTGTGAAATGAGCATGTAGTAGTACAAGATGCATTTTCCTACCCTGAAAGGATTTGCTGAAGAACACGTAGCTAGGATCAGGAGGTAGTTTGCCGTTCAAATAGCATGACCAGGCCATCCTGTCGGCTGTTTGTATGTCCTGGGTTTGAATCCAATTGACAAGAGAAAACGTGTCAAGAAAACAAAAGCTTGGAGCAATGTGAAAGGTGAGTAAATTTACTGGGTAGCTTCTGTTAGATAATGTTAGGAAACTTTAGATAAGATATTGCTGTGTAACTGACATTACTTAGTCAGTTTGATAATCAATGCCTGGGGCAACAAAAATAAAACCTAAGTAGTACTAAACTATAGTTATGCTGCTGCAAAAGGTCTGGCTTTTATCTTAATAATTTGGGATTCATGTTAAATTGTGAACAGGGAATAATATCAAAAACTTAGCTAGCTCCAAGCGGGTAGTCCCACCTCCCCAAAAATTCCCTCTCTGCCCGTCCAATCAGCAACAGCTATGATAAAGCCGACTCTGACCCCTGCCGTGTAGCATCTCTGACCGTTGGGAGGACGAGAGTTTTACAGTATATCTGCTGAGGCAGTAATGAGCTCCTTATTTTGACCTGCAGGGGCTAATGATGTGTCCACCTACGCTATGAACGCAGCGGGTAGCTACGAGAGTGTGACTGCAATCACATCAAAAAACACACACAAACACACACACACACACACACACACACACTCATACAGTTCACCCCGCCGTATCAGCACTCTGCTACAGTAGCAATACAAGGGGAGACTGTGAGTAAAGAAAGACAAACGTGGGAATGTCAAGCAACTAGACAAGGCAGCAATGTAAGATGTGTATAAAAAAAAAAAAAAGTGTCACTTTGCATGGTGAGAGTCTTTTTTTCTTGTGTTAATGTAGCGATACGACTTTGAGCCACAAGCAAACTTTTCATTTCATAAGAAACATGAGTCTGAGAATGATGTAATCCAAATGCACCCTCTTAACATCTCTTCACAAAAGAAGATGGAGATGAAAAGGAGGAGGCAGGTTTAAGATCCACAGACTGTATATACTATTTTTGTGCCACATTGTTCAATGGAAAAACTGATATATGTAGTATATGACTGGTTGAGTCATAGTGAGTCATACTGTGATTGATAAATCTCGAGGATAAAAACCAACAGCACGGGTGCATCTATGACTGCAGGACAGGGAATGGATGCATGTGATGCAAGAAAGAAACTTTGTTGGATACGCGAAAAAATCTGGGTAATCTCATCAGCAACGTCTGAAAAATGAGCCAAAACTGCTCAGCATGTTGAGACCTTAGTGCAGGTAAGAGTGATGTCATCAAAAAGACATCAGAGTTGGTGGTTGGTCATGAGCTTTACAATAATTCATACAAAATAAAAAACAGCATAACATTAAATGGAATCTACTTATATTAAGATTTGAATAGTGACTGTATTTATTTGGAGACAAAAATTATTAGGTAATAATATATATGGTTATATACTGTATATATAATGTGTAATTTATTTATTTTTCAATAAATGTATTAATTTAGATTATTCATGTAATACTTTGTATCAGACTCAATAATACTATAGTAATATATACTATAATATATAGTAATTCAATAATGATAGCACTAAATCTGTTCATGTACTCATAGCTGATTAATGACACATGCACAGTGTCTGCTGAGTCGTCACTTCAGATACTGTCTGGTTTGACTTGGTAATTAAATGTGTAAAAATGGAGAATCACATCTGCAAACATCTGGTTCACTATAAAAAATGCCTGTCAAAATAAGTTTTGGTATGATGAAGCAAACCATTGTAAGCGTTGATACAACAAACATACTGTAAGCTTATGTAATAACCCTTCACATGTTTTTTTGGTGCTGCAATGTATAATTCACTTCCTGTCCAATAAATGTGAAAATGTTCCTGTATTCCCACTTTTTTTTTTTTTAAAGACTTTTTTTAAACATTCCACCTCGTTGTTTTAAAGAAATAGTTGTTTCATACAAACACACTCATATCATTCACAGTATCACTTTCACTACAGCACAAATCCTCTCATTCGTCACTAGAAACGATCATTCGATGTTAAACTGGAAACTTGTCTGATGTTGTCGGCGACTGACAGGAACCACAAAAATCATCCTCTTACATATGATTGGCACATAAAAATACACATCATAAAAACAAACATATAAAAAGCTATATCAAAGGTGCAATTAAAAACTACACAATTAAAGAAAAGAAAATGGAACAAAACAAACAAACAAAAAAAAAAGCAAACCTAGGGAAAGTGTGTTTTTCTCTGCATTTTTGACCACTGGGCTCTTTTTGCTCAAACAGGTTTCTGTTTGAGAGCAGCTGCTGTCATTTTAAACATGGGGCAGGGATATGGGTGTTTGACGACACAATGAGACGAAACCCCTGGGCACGTGGGCATCCTATTGCCAAGGCAGTTTGGAGGACAGAGACAGAGACAGAGAGAGAGAGAGAGACAGATAGAGTAGCTATGTTCCCATTCAAAAGGCAATAAATGCTACGCAGAAGTCACGTGATTTGAATCTTCATTATTTTGATTTTAACAAACAAACTGGCTTTTGTCATGTTAAACTGGTGCTAATGATGCCATATTCCATCATTTCCTCTAAAGGCACAACTAATAAATAATGATCATAATGCACACACTGGCTTTTGAAGACAACAGATTCCTCATACAGAGGTTGACATATTTTACATTTCAGAAGCCAAATTATTAAACCTTTAACTGTTATGCAGCCGATCCAGTCATGTGAAATAAAAATAGGTTGTAGTTGCATAAAAAGCATCAACATGTTGTATTTTTTTTCCCCCCATTCTTCTTCTCTAGTAAAACTTGCAAAAAAGTAAAACATGAAATAAATAGTTGGATGGAAACACAGCTAGTAAAAGTGACAGAGGCATAAAAGAAAGAAAGAGAGAGAGTCGGATAGACAGGAGGAGGGGCTGTAACAGAGAGACAGGTCGACAGACTTCTCAGGCCTGAGAGCAGTGCAGACAGACAGACAGAGAGACAGACAGGGTGAAGTGACAAATGGACAAACAGACAGACACACTCACCCTCCCCCGACAGGCAGACAGATGGACAGATGGGTAGAAGAGGTAGTGCAGGGCCACTAAATGCATGCACTTGACTGAGGCTACACTCATGCAAAAGGTTAATACAAACACTAGAGTACAGTACGGTATGGTACAGCACGGTACGGTACGGTACGGTACAGAAGGGCTACCAGGACCTGCACTGCTGCTACCTGACACAACTGCCAGGGGAGAGAGAGAGAGAGAGAGAGAGAGAGAGAATTACATTAGAGTATTACAAGCTTCATATTGAAACTATGTGTATATAAAAGTATCAACAGTAAAAATCCTTGTTAGCATTTACTGTAAACAATGAGTGAGTTGGAGAGAGAGAGAGAGAGAGATAGAGAGAGAGAGAGAGAGAGAGAAAAGAAGTTATACATGTCCAGTTATTTACAGGAGAAGTTAGTGTTCATTTAAGATCAAGTGATTCCTTTGTTTTGTCTGGAGACATTCTCTTTACAACGTCTCTAGGTTAGTTTCCTCCTCCCTCCCTTCCTTCATCAGGTGGATCAGACAGATGAGATCATTCCCAGCTTCAATCCAGACTCTCTCCAAAGCCTGTCCAGGTTTTCCAGGCAACAACAACAACAAAAAATCCAGACAGCAACAGGAATGCTTGACAGTGGAAGTAAACAGACTCTCATTGGCTTTTCCTGCCCTCGAAAAGCGACACTCTCTTGGCCCGACATGCAGCTTCCTGAACACAAGAAAGACCACCGTGATCCACGACGACAAGGCATGGAGAGCGGCTTTAAGGAAATGGAAGTATATCGCGCGTTAAGTCAGTGAAGTTGACCCCTTACTCCTAAAACCTTTCTCCGCATCGCTCCTCATATCATGGTTTGGATAGGTTGGCTTGGCGGCGTGTAGGGTGGCGGTGCCGGCGACGGCTTGATCCCACGGGTCCTCATGTAGGAGAGGAACTGGTCGGGGATCTCGGCCAAGACGTCTTTGGCGAGCCGGGCCATGCTCAGGATGTGGTTCCCCGTCCGGTCGATGTAGTCTCTGAATGGGACGAACTAATAGAGAGGAGAGGAAAGAAAGACGAGTTTAAGTTTAAGACATTTTGAAAAGAAGAGATGGGAGACACAAGTTGAGGAAACAGACTTAGGACAGAAGGCAACTCTTTGTGTTTATCAGTTCTAATGTAATCTCCAAGTTTTAGCGTGTCTGTCCAACTAGCTTACTTCCTACGTCTCAAACTGAGCTTTACATTCAAGGTCAGGGAACACATCGTTACTATGTTTTGTGAGGTAACAGGATGCATTTAACCCTATTCACAACCAGCACAGGACAGAAGCTGGTCCTGGTAGATCAGTGTTGCACTACTGTGTCAAAATGTGAGCTAATGTTAGCGGCTCTGTTCTGGATTGAAGTTTCCACTCCAGCAAACTCATTACCTTGTCCGACTAACCTCACCCTCAAAGCCTATTCCCCTGTAACGTTTGGGCGAAACATACCCCAGCGGCAACCTCCGAGGCTGACATCTTTGCAGCCTGGTATCTACGGCTGATTTCCTCCTTCACGACAACTGTACGGGGGGTGAATTTTTATACAACTCACCCGTTTACATTTTATCAAGCCTTAAAGTTCTGCATAATTGAGGGCGTGGCCCTACGCTTTGTATTAGCTGGGAGTTTGGCGGAGTCAGGTGCTGGAAAGGTGGCGCCGACGGAACAGCTGATTCTGAGCTTCAAAACCGCTTTTCAGAAACCAACGGGTGACGTCAGGGGAGGCTACGTCCATCTTTATTTACAGTCTATGAACATACCATTTGAAAATACGAACAATGATGCGGATCTAACTGTTTGCCCAAGTACATAAGCAGCAAAGGGGTTAAAGAACAGTCTTGTAATCTTATGATACTGGGGCTAACTAACTTCACTCTGCTACACTAGAACCATGTTCTTTCTCTAATTTCATGTTTTCTACTTACTTCAGCAGATGAGGATGACGACTTTCTAGCTTTAGCCTCAGTCTTTTACCACAATCTCATGTACTTTGCCATCAAGAGAATACTTCTGACCCCTTTTTACAGAGCTCCGCTTTTAAAATGAGTCAGGTGGAAACATGAGGACCCATTGTTTCAAAAATAACTACAAATTTGGAGTGGTAAATCCGCCACCATTATCCCTGTAAAATTGTACCACACCAGATTGGAAACCTTTACGGGTGCAGCAACAGTGACTAAGGGTGGAGGCGATTAGGGGACGGTCAGATGAGAGGAGTAGCAACGAAGGGAGAGACAGTTGGTTTTATAAAGAAAGGGAAAATGAGGAAAGTCACAGAGAGGAGGATTGCATAAAATAGAGCAGATGGAGTAGAGATGGAGTGACAGGGGTGAGAGGAACGAGGTTGAAATGTATCGGAGAAAAAAATTGGAAAGAGTGATGAAAAGAAAATAACTTTAAAGAAAGAATTCAAATTATATCACTAAACCCATCCTAGTTTCATGTAAGTGGCAGATGTGCTTCTGAACTGTAAGATTATTTTAGTGAGAATACAACCACCTCAGTCTACATCACATTCATAATTGAGACGCTGCTGATTCGTCCTGTGTTCTGAAATCAAACTCATACATCTGGTTGTCAGGCGCGAATTGGTGAAAACTTTCTAGTAATCAAGTGTTGGATCAAAGCCTGATCCCTGAGGTGACTGATATGAGCAGCACATGGAGATAGAAAGGAATGTGCACATTTGTGATATGTTTTTACTGAGAATATTAGGTAGTAAAATCTGTTGATGCTATTTGGGGGCAGCTGGCATGTGAAACTGAGCAAAGGAGACGGGCACAGAGCCAGCAGCTACATACCAAGGCCCTCGTTAGCTCCGGCAAATGGGATCCAATATTAGGCTGGAAATATACAGATTCGAATGGGGGATCGGCATTGCTAATTTTCACAACAAGCAAATTCAAGAACTGGTTGATAACAAGTCTGAAACCCAACTGAACCGTTTGCCATTTGTCTGACAGGCATAAAAGAAGAGCACCAAAAGTAGGGATGCAACAATCTGACATGTGATTCCAGTTCCAGGGACTCAGTTATTCCTGATACCAATGTCCTCTTTTTTTCACAAATGTCAACTCTAAACACCTCACTGCCTGGAACTCATTGGGATCATTTTTACGTAATTCAAGGTAAGACGAGGGATCGCTGTGGTTCTAAAAATCAGCGGCCCAAGTCTGATTTAATGAGCGTAACTGATGTGTGTGAGTGGTTTAAATAATCTGGCTAAACTGTTTGATTCTTTACACCCCGTCTGAACATCTCAGACTTGTAGAAAAAAAAAAAAAAAAATCATATTGCAGTTATTTTAACCGCTATTGCAGTTGCTATACGAGTCATGATTTTAGTGGCAATAGTAATTTTTGCATTTCATTTTGACTGAAAAAAATGAAACGTAAGAGATAAGACTGAAGTTATTATATGAATATTTCTTTGAAATAACTGCATCAGATGTACAGTATGTGTGTATCTACAATAATCATATCATAGTAAATGTCTTTGTTGGCACAACATACCAGGGTGAGTCCACTACACTCTCTTCACCCTCAGCAGGGTTTTTATCATACAATGAGCTACAAACCGTTGTTGGAAGGTCAGTTCTCACAGAACTCTTGGACACATGTTCTTGGCTTCTTTAACTATCCGGCTGTTGCAACTCATTATTTACATCTCAAGACCGTTGCCTCCTTCACAATCCTAATCCACCTGCTGATTTAATAAATGCTTGCATATCGTGTCACAGACCTTTCACAGGTTATCAGCTCTTAATACGGATGATAATGCTGAACTAAATGAGGATGCATACGAGAACGTCTCCGTTTCATTTACTTAACGAGATGTTGTCACCTACAGTCACAGAATCGCACGGGAGGCCAATTTGTGCTGGAAACCCTCGCTGTAAAATGTAAACCTCACCATGTCACTCTGGGTTATTAGCTTGCTGATAATGAGAGCCTGTAGGCAGAGCTGGTGTAATGTTCCAGTACTGAAACTGAAGTTTTGCTCCATCTCTAGGTTTTTTTTTTTTTTTTTTTGCATAGAGTGGCTGTGGCTGTGTGTGTGTGTGTGTGTGTGTGTGTGTGTGTGTGTGTGTGTGTGTGTGTGTGTGTGTGCGCACTTCAGCTTGTTAAAAAGCCAGTTAACGAGTGTGTCTAGCTCGCCCACGTGGGATGAGGGAGCAAGATATGACAGCGGCAGTATAAAGGTCACGGAGGAGAAAAACGTGACTTCGCCGTAGCAGCACAACAAAACAAACGGCTCACTCTGGATGTTTGCATTTCCTCTCTTTGCCTTGATGCCAGGGAATCACAGAAATATGAAATGAACTATACTTAGTGTCGTTTTGTGTTTATACGTTCCTTCATGTCCAGTGAGTAGGGACCCATCTCATCTCCCCAACTCTACACGGCAAAAGTAAAGGTTGTCCTCTGATGTGGCTCCTTGGTGAAAAAAGTCTCATCTTTTGACTTTTCTCTGTAGCACTTCACAGGTCTCCTCTAACTGAATGACTGACTGACTGACTGACTGACTGACTGCAGACCTCACACTGCCCTGCGGGCCTTTACAGCCGGGGGGGGGGTCAGAGCTGAGGGAGTCTGTTCAAACACTTTAATGAGAAAGTGAGACTGAGTGAAAGACAGAGAAACAGACATTGGGCAGACTCCTCACAGTAACTGAGCAGCATGCCATTATATTCGTCGGCCTTGCCATATGTGATCTGGCGTAGCACGGGGTCGAGGCGGCCAGGTGTCTGTCTGCATGGACAGACACTTACCTTTAAAAAAAATACAGTGACAATGCTTCACTCTAATCCTTCTGCACCTCTAAATGAATCCTCTCTGTTGTGACTGTGGGGGAAAATATCTCCCTGATTGTCTGTGTATCATTTTGAGTTTTGATACTTTTGCCAAAATGACACTTAGATCAAGATGACTGACCGCAGTATTATTATTTTCTACCAAGGCTGGATTACCAGTCGGTCAAAGTGGACAACTGCCCCGGGGGCTCCAGACCGCCAGGGCCCCCAAAAAACTCCAGGCGTGTTTGCCAACTGTTGGTTTTGGAATATTTACCACTAAAACATCGGTGTTCAGGTGGGTCCTGCTTTATTACCTCATGCTGAGATCTTGTATTGATCTTGTTTTAAAACCTTTACTATTTCAGTTTTATGCTTCTAAGTTAAATACATTTACTAAATGAATGTGTTTATGGAGCAAGAACAGGGGCAGTTGTGAAAAACTGTAAATATTACACAGAGCAAAGGGGAAAAGAGGGGGTTAATAAGAGCCCTGTGACTAATATTTGCCCCGGGGCAGCTAGTGATGTTAATTCAGCCATGCTTCATATGATAAAAAGTGATGATGAAGAATCTCGGCGCCCTCGTGGCAGAGCTCATGTATAATCTTGGATGTGGTTTCAGTTTTGATTTCTGTCAAAACAATCAGGGGTGTGTACCTGAACGATGTCTCTCTCAGCGTATCTTCCTCTGGATGAGATTCGGACTTCATCGCCGTCCAACTCAATCATGGCTGAGGAGGAGAAAAAGGATAGAAAAAGAACGTCGAGGAGGATGGACAGGGGAAAAAAAAGTAAATGCAAACCTCGTATGTGCGCATTATTTTATCACTGCTGGAGGACCAACAAGTCAATCATTACTCTCAAAAAAATCACAAGATCTTGTTGACTTACCGTCAAACTCTGCAGGCCCGACCCCCACAATGATGATTGACATTGGCAGACAGGCGGCCTGCAGGAGAGGAGAGGGGAGGAGCAATAAATATTTGATACTTTTCAAAAATTTAACAACATTTCTTTTTATGAATAAAAAACTATGTTTCTTCTCATGCGGGTCATTAGCGGGGCTGAGCTGCAAAAGTGCTACCGGTGCAGGCCTGTCTCCATCAGTGGTAAACGCAGCGTTCACAGATCATGTTGCGTTTCTGTCTTGTCAACATGTATAATACATATAACATGTGTAAGCACGCGTGTGACTCTTTGATGTGTGTGTTTTCTGCAGCACCTCCCGCAGTGCTGCGTGGGTCGAGACATCACAGTGAATAATATTAGAGACGGGAGAATCAACAACACGATGCCCCACTCACTGACAGCTTACAAATGACATGTGTTTGTGTTGTGTGTGTGTGTGTGTGTGTGTGGGTGTTTGTGGATGTGTTTGTGTTTGTGTTTGTGTGTGTGTGTGTGTATTAGAAGGAGAGGGCCAGTGGTGTGTGTTCAGAGTATTTGAGTAATGTGTTGACCTCAGGCGGCTGAGCAATAGATGATCTTATCAAAAGATCCCATTTATTTTTTGCTCCCCTGGGTGCAGGTCCTCTTTACCTCTCTACTGCCCTTTGCTCCTTTTTTTTTTTTTTTTGCTGTACACTCATCTCTGCCACCTCCTTCCCTCCCTCTTATCTCTCCTAGCCTCCTTCCCTCACTCCTCTCAGCCTCCTCTCCTTTCCTCTCCTCCTCTGCTTTCAAAGGCATGAGATGGATCAGCGCCTTCACAAAAACGATTGTTGTTCACTGTTCATTTTGTTTGTATTCTACACGGCGCTGTGGCTTCCCTCTGGAGCCTGCTGTGACTTGACAGTGATGGAGAGGACGGACAGAGGGTGAATAACATGCTGTCAAAACTGAGAATGGCACAGAAAATACGAAAATGAAAACAGCAGTAAAGGTTCCCCAGTATATAAAGTCAATATCAAACAATAGAAATTCTCATTTTAATTAACTCCCCCCTTAAGTTCATGTATACGCTGAGATTTCTGAACCGCATGGATCCGGCAGACTAACATGATTTGTTTGTTAGGCCTTTTATTAATGGAGTCGTTTCATAGTCAATACATTTAGAAGCTGACAAAGACACAGTTTCGCTCTGATGTAATTAGTCCTCTGGCCATGACAGCTCTGCTCATTTGCATATATTTAAGCAATCGCTGAAGTATGCACTAAGAAGCACTAGACACTACTGCATCATTACAGCATCAATTGCAAATGTTTTCCATGATTAATTCTTTTTTTTATGTTGAATAACATGTGATCCATCCACCCTCGCCAGCCCACTCGTTTCTCTTGTGCCGCTATGCAAAAGCAAATTTAACTTCACAGTTGTTGATGCATAAGAAAGCAGTCTTTCGGATACAATTTACATATACAATAGATGCTAACTAAATAAGCAGCTATCTTAATGGCAACATTTCTCTTTTCATTCATTCATTCTACTTTGTTTTTAATGTTCTGACCTTTTGCATCCATCTTTTTTCATGTTTTGTGAGGCACACTTGTATTTTTTTTGTATCAAAAGTGCTATTTAAATAAAGGTTTATTAGTGAGGGATTGTTGTATCGGGTGCTTGGACCCCAGTATTCTTGCTTGCAAGTCGAGTTATCATTATTATTACTATCAAACCCATTTACAGATGCAATTTTCTCAAACTAACAGACTGTGAAAGATAAAAGCGTTTAGTTTGGGGTCTGGGTGCGGGGTCGGGTGCTCTTAACAGCTACAATAGATGCTCTTACGTTGACAATAGACTCCTTGGTTTGGGCCATGTCTGAGATGACGCCATCTGTGATGATGAGGAGCACAAAGTACTGGGAGCCGTCCTTCACTGAAGCTGCATACCTACGCACAAAAAACACACAAAACCATCTTTGCAGTTATTTCTGTGCTGCCATCGTGTCTTTGGGTTACCACGATGAGTCATTGCTGGAGCGTATATCAAGCATCAGTGTAGTTTTAATTAGTTTGTTCTCAAACGAAATAAAGAGTACACAAAAATTAGTTGAGTGGAAATAAAGCATTCCACATCCGCTGAAATTTTTTTTTTCCTCATCGAATAAATGTCACTTACGTCCCACTCTGTAGGATCTTAATCTGTCAAGTGCTTCTTTCTCTACATCTATCTTCATGTCAATTCTACAGATCCTCAGCTTAATATGGCTTTCATTTTCTCCTGTGGTGTTGAGTGTGACCTTTCACTCCCATGTGAGTCATGAACTGACTCTTACTGATATTTACACACTGAGATTATTTCAGTCACTTTGGTTTCTGCTACATGTCACCTTTCTGCACTGGGAGGTTAGGTCTGTGTGTGTGTCTGTCTCCTCCCCACTGATACTTAGGTGTCTCTCACTATAGATGATCACAGCATCGCAGAGGGAGAAAGATGAAGGGAAAAAAAGTGGAGGTGACACAGCAGGGTGGGGGGACTAGATGATGACACAATAGCCTGTGCGTGGCACCATAAACAGGCTTCAAGTCGACAAATAGGCAAAACAGTTGCATAAAAATGCTGCTTGTATCCCCAGCGCCTAGTTTTCACAGTTTTTAATGAGTTTTAGGACGACGAGTTTGTAGAATGTATGCTGATTAGTCTGGTGCTTATCCAGCTGAACTGAACTGATTCTTGAAGTTTGATTTTGTGGCAAAAACAGAGTAAGATGCAGTTTGGCTGAGTGGAGCAAATGGGTTTCTGGAAAATGCTGTGTTGTTTAAAATGTTTGAACATATTTATGCTTCAAAAATACCTAACGAGATCTTTTATATACTTGCGGGTACTGTATTTAGTTTACTACTTTATATTTGATTTTTGTGTTGTCTTTCTGCAATTTGCATGGACCAGAAGAGTTGATATAGACCCACATATACAAAGCAGGATAAAGAAAAAGAGAGAAGAGAAGAGAAGAGAAGAGAAGAGAAGAGAAGAGAAGAGAAGAGAAGAGAAGAGAAGAGCTATATGTGCCTAGAGTTAGATAAGTTAATCAATACCACTCACATGTCTGTATGCTAAATATGAACCTACAGCCAGCAGGCGGTTAGCTTAGCTTAGCATAAAGACTCAAAGCAGAGGGAAACAGCTAGTCTAATGTATTGTAAATAGTGTAAAAGTGCAAGAAAAAAAAGAACAGTGGTTTTTGTATGGATAAAACAAACAAGATGTAACACATTCATTTTTGAGCTTTAGAAAGATGTGAGCTTTAGATATTGTTACCCAGGCTAGCTGTTTCTACATGTTCCCAGTTTTTAAGCTAAACTAACATCTTGAGATCATAGCTTCATACCCCCCCCCAAACATTTTGGAAATTAGTGATTACTTTGTGCAGGAAAAATAGAGAGGAGTGGACAAAAGCAAAGAGGAAAGTTCAAGTGGGTTTGATGAAAAGAACAGATGAGTCAGGAAAAGGGAAATCAGGGTGTTCAGGTGACATTACAGGCTGAATAAACCTAAACTTCTGCCTCTGTATCACTGCTTGTTTCATCATTTTCCTCCTGAGCACATTTCCCTCTTCATGTGTAACTGCGCAATTAAGGTTTCACTAAATCATGTTCTAAATATGTGAAGTAACCTGATGAGAGACTTGAGCACTCTCTTTAATTACATAGTTCCATGAATAGTTTCTTGTCTTTTTTTTTTTCTTCTTCTTTTTTTTTTTTTAAAGAACTTTGTCTAGATCACGTGTGCCCTGGCTTTCCCGCAGCATAAATTATGTTCCCGTCGACACACAGAAACAAACAAACATGCAATCAGCTGTCAGCTACTTTCTCTGTTTGTGTCCTCAGCTCTTCCCCTCTTCCTCTCACTCTTGTTAGCTACCTGGCAACACTCGCTGCAGAGAGCTTATTAGACAAAACCTGAGAACACATGTTGAGTGTCAATCGCAGAGTGAAATGTACTTTGTGTTCTTTCACGCGTACTCAAATGATGTCAAGTTCATTATATAAGCAGCGATAGCAAATACTCAAGTGTAAAACAGGTGTGCATGTGGTATAATGAAAATTGAAATGCAATAAAAAAAAAAAAAGGTTGTGAAAAGGTAAACGCAGGAAGGCTCTGACTGAGGAAGACGTAAATGTGTGATTTAGAAAAAAAAAATGGAGACACTTTACATGAAATACTTTCAATCACAGGTGTATGTGAGTTACCTGGCCACATGGTTGATGACAGGGGAGAAGTTGGTGGGTCCGTAGAGTTGAACTGACTTCAGGCTCTGGTAGTAGGCTTCCATCACACCGTCGATACCTGCACAGTACGGGTTCTGAGGATTCCCATTCTGCATTTAACAAAAGGGGGAGGGGGGGATAATTAACTTACATGATTAATTTCAGATACGTTCACCAGGTCCAGAGGCACAGGAGAAGCAGATGGAACAAACAAGCTCAGGGATTGTTTGTATTGTACAGGCTTTGTCATGAAGATAGAGACAATGATTTTTATAAATGAATAAAAAATGAACGTTAATTATTTATACACTCAGTTACTAGTTTATTTGGAACACTTTGCTAAAAGCTCCTCTGCGTCCTGCAGGTTTTCCTTTAAGGGAACAACTCCACTCCTTCCTGCCTCCCTCTAATCCCTGCCTTCCATCCTGGTCTCACTCTTCTTCTCACCAAGGCAAACTCGTGGGAGACCCGTCCGTCAGGTGGCAGCTTAGCACCGAAGCCCAGCGCGGGAAACATCTTATCGCTGTCGTAGTCCTGGATGATCTCCCCCACTGCCTTCAGGGCCATGGCGTAGGCATTCAGCTGGTAGGGACTCATGTAGTGGAGTGAGGTGGGCTGGGCTGGGTTTCCTGTTTACACACACACACACACACACACACACACACACACACACACACACACACACACACACACAAACACAGTTAAAAGCACATTGTGGTTAGATATCCAGATTTCTCAGCCAACAAAAGAAGAACACAATTGGATTTTTATTTTTCTGCAGTCATTAAGATGCATTCAATTGCTAAGCTTCAGATTTGTATGTGATTAATCTTAGAGGTTGCCATGGTTATAGTGTAGGGAATCAAATATGAACTTTTCATCATCCAAGTTTAAGTTTTCTCTGCTACGTTATACATGAACTTTATTTCCTTGAAAATGTGACGTTATGTGTTTTCTAAAATGTTTTTAGAAATATTAGTAAAAATATATTATATATTTTATTGTTGGTAGCAAACGTGATCTTTGGGAAAATACAGAGTCAAAATGAGTTCAATTTTTCATGTTCAACTTTATTTAACCAGGTAAAGTAAAGAGAGAGCTGCCAAACACAGCAGCATCAACAACATATAGTCAGAGGACTTCTCTGAACATTTAAGATTTCAATGAGTTACTCAAGATTAAAAGAACTTCAGAAAGATTTATAACTGTCAGAGGCTGGGGGCAACCAGTCAAAATCAAAATCACCAACAATAAGACACTTGTTAAAACTCAGTTCAGCCAGCTGCCGGCTTAAAGATAGCAGCTTTCACTGTTTGCTGAAGGAGGTCTGCAGCAACCTGTGGCTGAGATAAAATGTCCCTTACTGAGCCTCAACTTCAAGGCTCAAAGTTCATATGCATGCTCACAAGAAGCGAAGTTAAAGAACTCAACAAAAATCAGTTTTTAATATAAACAGCAGGACCACCTGCTTTCCTGGAGCAGTCATAGCAAAATATACTGTAGCTCCTTATCTTATAGCCCATAGCTTTTTTTGGTGATACAATTTTACAATTACCCCCAATTAAATGTTAAAGTAATAAAATCAAGTCAAAAATGTATATTTTTTGAAAATATCCCTATAATTAAAGGAAAGAAGAAGATAACGGACCATCAGAGGTTGTGTGGATTTAAAGGCGCTTCATGGGAACCACCATCACTATTTGAAGAGCCACTTGAACTTCTAAATGATGTTTAACCAATACCTTTTGTGTTTTAATATAGCAGCCAGTGCTTCCATAAACAGCCATCGAATAGATTTCAAGTGGCTCACCATTAGTGCTTCTGTATGACACCACAACATGTGTGGGTCGTGTAATTCCATCACTGCATCGCTGATGGAGCCAAATTGGCTGCTAATTAACTTAACGTAGTTGTAAATGTATTAATATGGCACTTGTCGTGATCTCCCTGTACATGTCTTTTCATATCACTATTCAATCTAATTGCAGAACTCAATTTGCCACCATTCAGTATTGACTTTTCAGTGAGAGCCAGACAAGATCAAGCACACCTCAGCCTCAAACACATATTTTACATCCCATGCCTGAAAGCTCTCATTTGAATTAATCGAATTTGGCGCCGCTTGTCCCGCTAGGACCGAGCTCAAGGGTAGCTGTATAACACGGTCCTTCATCACGGCCATCATAGCATGGTACTGCACTCAGCTTTATCTGCCAGGTGTGGTGGAGAGGGCTATTAGGAAACACTTGATTCTCCATCTAAATATATTTGAATATGCACTCCCTCGGAATTCAGCGCACTTTCTGTCTCTTTATGTGGCTCTCTCAGAGTGTTAGTGTGTCAAAGTGGATGTGTGTGTTTACTTACCATTGGAAGCTGTGAAGTCAATGGCCACGGTGAAGTTAATCTGGGTTCTGAAAACAATAGCAGGAAGATGATTGATTAATAAACAACTATTTATCTCTCTCTCTCACGCACACACATACCTATGACTCAACAAGAAACATGAAGACATGAACTGCAGACATAATCAGGTTAAAGTGATCAATGTTTGAGAGTACAAACAGACTTCCTCCTGCCCTTTAGCTCTGACAGTAATGAGGAGACAGTGAGTTGCTGCACTTTCACACCAAACACGTAGGCATAGCGTTGCTCAGAAGAAGGTTGTTTTTAATAGAAAGCACAGCTACAGTCCTGTTAACGAGTAAAAGTAACATTGTGCCATCCTGTCTTTGCTCCCAAAATTCAACCACGTTCAACTGTGACCTCAAACTCTACAAAGTGCATCCAGTGGTATTCTGGCAGAAAAGAGGTGACACTTCAAATGGCAAATAGACCAAAGGAGACTTTGATTTTGAGTAACCCAAAGTCACATAATGTAAACTACAATCAATACAGGCAGGCTTAATAGGCAATAAGAACTAGAATCTGCAGTCATACTAGCCTCTCTATGAGGCTGTAATTATGCGTTCACGCAATGTCGGCAAAATGGGAAAAAGAGGTGTGTGTTTACACATTATTCCAAAGTGGTTAGCCTAAATTAGCTACTTCTGTTGTGTCGCGTATTTTGACAACAGTTGGTTGATATGTCTGTAGTTCTTTTCACCAAGTGTGAGATATTGTCGGAAATACCCAATATCTCGACTCAGAGGCGGAGACTTATGTTTCCCACTCTGCTAATTAGGGTTTAAAGGTCACCTATTGTATAAAGAGAGAGTTCCATCTGTCTGTTTTGATTATAAAGCAGGTCTAGGTTCTATATTAATACTGTGAAAGTATCAAGTGTTCAGTCCACATAGAAATGCACACAGCCTGCTTTCAGAAACTGAACCTTAAAAACAAGCTGTCAAGACTGCTGTAACTTTGTGACATCACAACAAAGCAGTCGCAAAACTTTGTGCCAGGTCAGGCGAATTTTTTGACCTTTTGCCAGCGCTACAGGAAAGGTCAGGGCATCACCAAAGTCAGTCGGATTCATCCTCTGGGCACCATGAATGACAGTACAAAATTTCATGGCCATGCATCCAATGGTCAAAGAGATATTTCAGTCTTGACCAAAGTGGTTGACTGACCGACTTTGCCCTCCTTACAGCCAGGCTGCTAGTGTGGCTAAAAGGTCAGAGGTCACTATCCAACAGAATGTGGATTTCAGATTAGAAAATACATTTTGTCTCTTTCCGTATTTTGTATTTTGATGTCCAATTAAGTTTAGATGGTGGGCTGTAGCTAAAAGGTTAGGCTGCTCTGTATGATCCTATAATCTATTCTGAAGCTTACTTCCTGATTTGATTTGCCTTATGCTCTCGCACAAACTTTGCACTTTGTAGTTTCTGACAGAGCAGACAGAAAACAAAGACGGAAATATGAAAAAAGCATGATCAGTGAGAGATGAAACAAGGCAGAGAAAAAACATCTCCCACCACAGCACCCAGCATGAGAGAGTGGCACATCTCTCTCAATCAAAACATTTCCTATCTTGTTAACCTGCAGGAATAGGATGCGGTTAAGCGCTCTGTCGACCTGTCGACAGCTTTTTCACACCAATCCCCACCCGCCGCCGCACACACCATAAACACACACACAAAAGCCTCGCTGTCTAACTTATGCGCATCTTCTGTATTCAGATTGTGTAAAACAGCCAGCAGCTCATCATCTTTGTCACCTCAGCAGGCCATGTGAAGTGCAGGCGCTGTGCCGTCCAGAGGGGACACAACAAGAGGGAGAGGGAGGGAGGGGCAAAAAGGTGGGAAGAAGTCCAAGAGGCGTTTAATGATCAGAGGCCTGTTCCAGAAAGAAGGTTAAAAAGGAGTCTGAAAAGTGGATAAATGTAGTGACACCGCTTGTAAACGCCCCCTGATGATGTAATAGAAACCGGTCATTTTGAAAGAGCGATGGCCAATAGGGAATCTCCAACACTCCGGCAAGCAACTGTGATGTTGTAAAAAGTGATAAATAAGATGCTTTGATTCACCAAACATCAAATGCCAGTAAAGTAGCTTTTCTAGAGGACAGCTGCAAGGACAAGGGGAGCAGGAGAGAGAGGAGGTCTGAGTGAATTCTGGTCCAGTTCCCCACGCTGGCACAGACAAGCTTCAGCCAAGCAGCCTAAATTATACATGCCCTCTTTCTCTCCCACCCAACCTCTCTGTCACATGCACATGCACAAGGTTTGAGACAGAGGAAGTCAAATTGTGGGAATGTGAAGGGACAGCCAGATAAAAAAAATAAATAAAAAAAAACAAAAAACCAAGGTGAGTTGGAGGACGGACAATAAAAAATGACAAAAGGCAGAGAACAGCTGAAAAGGAGAAAAGCAGTCCATGATTAAGCAAGTCAGCAGAAGAAAACGACAATGTCAGAATTGCATCAGCAATATGATTTACAACCATGATGCACAATTTAAAAGCTGTCAAGTTACTATGACAAAAGCAGGAATGGGTTCCAAAACGGACGATATTGGCTGCATAATTTCCAAAGTGAGTTGTCATTGATTGAAATCATCAAACCTCTGCAGTCTGACTGTGATTATTTTCTGCTATCAGGCTGTAAAACTCAGCAGCACGAGACCTTCAAAAGTCAGTGTCACAGTTTCTTTCTTCACAAAGTGCAAATCACCCCTAATGTTTGACATCATCATTCTGACTCCTAATCGAGAGAGTATTAATATCCAAGACAAGAACACAGGACACTCTCCAAAAGGTCAAATAGATCCTCTGCATTAATCAGACAGGAATTTGAGATCAGTTTCTTGGCTCTTGGGATTTTCCCCGGTGATGTGTGTTTTCTGGATGCCAACGCACACACTGGCCTGTAAGGAAAATAAAGTGCAACTATTTCTTTTCACTTCCTTAAAAGTCTTCTTTGTGTTTTACTTTATTTATACAGTCAATTTGCTTTTACGGTTTTCAACATGGCATCAAACCAAGCATTTAAGAACTGCTGTTCCTTCTATTGCACTAAATATGAAAACAGTTGTCAATAAAGGTTGAAGGCAACATTTTTGTTTCTATGGTATGTTTCGCGTTACAGACTTACAATTCTTAACATGATTGTCAGGTGGCATCAAACAGAGCATAACACACACACACACACACACACACACACACACACACACACACACACACACACACACACACACACACACACACACACACACACTATATAAAACACTTGCCCAAAGGGACACACCTATCTACATGAACAGCAAAAGGGGATCTTCAGCAAACAGGTTTAGACCATGAAGGCAGCGAAATGTTCTGGCAGGTTTGATAAGGGATTTCCACAGGCAGCGGTCTCAACCGCAACATCACATCACTGCGTTTCAGCAGAGGGAGGAGAGATGTGAGCTCAGCCTTCCTTAAAAAAAAAAAAAAAAAAAACCTTATCGCTCTGTGGAGAGGGAAAATTCTCCAGACCTTTAAGGGCTGTTAGCAGCTTTATCCTGTCATGCTTTTTTTTTTTCCTTTTTCTTTTTTTAATTGGCTGTGATCCACCTCTTGGCAAATTCACCTGAACTTTTCAGGCAGGAATATTTCTACACACAAGTGCTCATAAGATCAAATCTCACCTGTTCCTCACAGGGGGAATTACATAGGAAAAACACACACACACACACACACACACACACACACACACACACACACACACACACACACACACACACACACACACACACACACACACACACACCATGAAAGAATAGAGGAAAAAAAGATTTAAGGCTGTATACTAGCTGCACTAATAAAGTCCACTTTTTTAAGTCTGATTGAAATAAGATAGAGCAGAGCAAAGGTACAGTCAGTTTCCACTGACTTAAATCTCCTTTTATTCCTTAAATCTGGCTTCCTGATCCGTTCTGCCAACCTCTATTTGAACAGTGAAGGGTTTCAGTGAGGAGGCACACACCCTTTATCAGCTGGGCTGCTCCAGTGAGTAATGGTTGTCTAAGTGCTTTGCTTTAATTTAATTTTCATTCTCACGTTGCCTGTTATTCACTACACTGCTGCTTCTTGCTGTTTCTGTCTGTCTCTTAAAGAGTATGTAAGTGTGTATTTCCGTGTGTGTATCTTTGTATTAGAGTGCGGGTATGTATTCGTCTGTACGTGATGACAACGCATTTCCCACAATGCTTCACATACCTGGACAAGAACCTCTTGGACTTGGTGTCTTGGAGACAAAACAATACATACAACATGTTGTACATCAATAAGAACATGACTGTCCATTTTGAATAGTGTGTGTACGCCCGCGCGTGTGTGTGTGTGTCGTGTACAGTTTCTAATCATGTGCTCGGGGTGAAGGGGGAATGCCTCTTAAGCAGCTGGTTTTCTGTCAGTCACTGATGTTCGCCCGCTGTTAAAGCCCACAGTGAGTCAGCAAGGAGCCAATATGACAAAATACCGCACAGCAGGGGGGGGTGGAGCGTTGAGGAGGTTCCGCTCTACATCCAAATAAGCTTTCCTGCAGACTGATGCAGGCCTGATGCTAATGTGTCTCCTAAATCTTCAAAGCATCTCGTTAGACTCATCTCTTCCACGTCTCTGGTGCCTTGCTCCTGCAATAAAATAACTTTCAAGTTGAGCCCTGTTTGCCAGTCGATTTCATCTTTTTAAAACGACTGATATCAGAACAATACACAAAGACTTGAAGTCTGAACAGGCCCTGTACTCCTTATTGTACTGGAGGGTTTCATCTTAAGGTGAAAATGTTCTATTTAAGACAAAATGTTCACATCAAGTCTCCTCTTATATTTAAGTGCCAGAGGGGGACGTATGCATGAGTGCACTGAGTGGCCTAAAAACGGCATCAGAGGTTGTGCGACGTGACCTCTCCTGATGATATGCAAACAGATGTTGCTGGTTGGACGGTGTCCAGACGAGAGGAGAGGAGAGGAGAGGAGAGGAGAGGAGCATATTGTGCTTGTTCATTTGCTAGGTATAACCCACAAGGTAAAGTGTCTGGGTTCCTTTAAAAAGATGTGATTTTTTTTTTTTTTTTTTTACAAATCTTTGCCTTGATTCCGCGAGTCTGCTCCCCATATCTAATGATAACCTCTCAGAATGATTTCAATACAAGCAGAGTTCCCGCCTGCTTCTATTCTGGTTTCAATACTCAATTCACAAACCAAAACAAGGGGAAACAATATCTGTCACTCTGAGTGACAGGGCTGCCTTCAATGGCACAGCTCAAAATGAAAGATATAGCCAACAATTTTTCATTTTTATCCTCATGCTCATGAATAGAGACCTCTTTGTTGAAAATCCATGGGTGGTAATAACGCTTTATCAGAGGGAGTGAAAAGAGTGAGAGCAGCAACGATCTGGATTGAGATGGAGCCTTCTCAAATCAGTCATTTATGCTAATGCTGCCAGCAGATCATGTTCCTAATTAGGTCCAAATGAACAATTAGCTGATTGGGTTGAAGCTGCAAAAAGAGCTGTCAATCCGAAGATAAGAGAGCAGGGGGGAGGAGAGAAGAAGAGAGGAGAGCTGAGGAGAGATACATGGAAATGAGACGGAAAAGACTGGCAACACAACAAAATACCTGTGTAGACAGTCCAACAAGAATGAGGCGTATAAGGGGAAAGCACCTAGACAGTGTGTGCGTGTGAGCACGGGTGTGTTTACGTTTTTGTGTGTCTGCGCACAAATACACAGTCTGCCCATTATGCAACTGGAGTAAGTGCAACCGGACCATTACAGTCCATTTAGGTTTCAGACACTGAGACAGCACTTGGCACTTCATTTAGCCACACAGGCGTGTAACAACAGCCGGCTCACACTCCCAAAGCACTGCCAAAAAAAGAAAAAAAAAAAAAAAAAAAAAAAAAAAAAAAAAAGAAACATCCTCTTCCTGAGAGTCTCAAAGTGTTCTCTGACTGACAGTGCTGCTGGGAATGATGGTGGGATTTCTCCATTAGCAGCGACACAGAGAGGAAACATATGCCGGGGCACGTCGGTGAGGGAACACACACATGCGTTTCGAAGCCAGCGTTCAGTCAAACCAACATCCCTGTCCATCACACAAACTGATCGCACTTGGCACATGACTATAACAGGCTTCAGTATACAAACACATTAGTACATCTGCTTCATCCCCTTAAACATATACACTAGCTCTGTCTAATAATCTAGCATACACAAAGTGCAATCCTAATGCCCCGTGAATCAATAGCGTATTGATCGTTGTGTTCTTAGTCAGGAAGCAGTTTTTTTTTTTTTTTTTACAGGCTCGTTTGTGAGTAACACAAGCTATGAACCAAAAACACCAACCAGAGTCAAAAACATTTTCTTTCTCCTGTGTTTTACCAACTTAAAAAAAAAAACTTCACTATACTTACTATACTTCCACTTCCTGCTTGTTCAGGGTGTTTTTCTATCCGGTCTCATAACTGCACAGTTTACAGACAGTTCCTCATGTTTGCTGAGAGTCAGGGTTTAGTTTTTCTGACTACAGTTTCAAGTTTAAAATATGTTATATATAGTATATGTCATCAAGGAATACTAAATTGAGATGAATACTAAGTACTAAACAGCTGTTGTAAATAGAAATAATAATAGCTTTAACATAACCACACTGCACAGTCACATATATGCATAGTATGTATACTGCCAGTTTTGAATACACTTACTTTGTCATATAAATACACAACATGCTTAACCTGTGTATAATTAGTGTGTATTATGGGTTTTGGACTTGTTGGTCCCAGAGTTCATAGTTTTTTTTTATGGTTTTGTTTATAGTAAATTCATGCCTTGGGCAATGCAAGGACACCACGCTGGCTGTACAACAAACATACGTTTATTCTGAGTGGTTTATTGAGTCATTCATTGACTCATCTGATAAATAATTCATTTTCTTCCATGTTCAACTCCTGTTTCGTCCACTTACAGTTAAACCTTTCCTCTGACCCCCTCAGTCAAATTGAATCCCAAACATGTTGAGAAAAAAAACCTCAGCGATTTCCATCAGGCTGTCACTCCTGACTTTCAATGTTTGTTTCAATTGTATTCTACTCACAACAAGAAATTTCTTCTTGATGTGTGTTTAAAATAAAACAAAAGCAGATAGTCCCTGACATCCTGCTTGAGGGTCACCACATCAATGTAATAAAATCTTAATCATGTCAATTATGGAAAAAAATCTGAAACTTTCCACATCCAGCTAATCAGTTCATCAAAGTTTAAGCCAGGCTTTCGCAGCCCAAATCCTTTAAATCATTTGTGGTGCAGTGAGGAGACAGTGTACCATAGCGAGTGTTGGCTTCTGAGATAATCCTCTCGTTGGCTCAAGCAATTTCTGGCCAGATTTCTACCCCCTCTGCTCTGAGCTGTGAGTTAACTCTTCTGAAATCCTCCTGAAATGAGCAGCGCCAAAAAAACAAAAAAAAAAAAGATAAAAATGATGAGATGTGTCGTTTTCTTGGGAAACAGACTTCTACTTTCTGTGTTTTAATGAAGTTCTTTTTGCCTTAAAAAACAAACCAAAGCTGTTCATGTGTTTATCCGCTTTAAAAGCCAGATGACTTTCCATAACACCTAAAAAAAACACACACACAGCTACAAGGGCAGCAGGAACAGAGGGATACAAGGACAAAAACTGAGATTTTTTTTCCCCAAAGTTGCACGCGCACACACACACACACTTTCTTCCCCTTGACAGTCTCCCCCTCTGTGAGTCTAATGAAGGCAGAGTGTGTGGGTGAGCATTCACGCCATGCCTGGTTGCACACGGTCAACCCTCCTGAGCAACGCGCGCACACAACCACATGTAAATACACACACGCACACGCACACGCGCGCGCGCGCGAGACACACAATGGCACATGGCAAGGCCGAGCGCTGAAACACAATACAAGATTACATTCTAGAGCACAGACACACACACACACACAAACACTTCAGAGCCTCAGCCCTGTGTACCTGACTTTAGGTCAGCCCATCTGTCAGCCTCTCTCTCTCTCTCTCTCTCTGTCTGTCTCTCTACCTTTCACTTTCTTTCTCTCTCATGCAAATGTACATGTTTCCATCTGATTTACTCACACTGAGGGATCATTATCTTTGGCATATTGCAGACACTGAGTCATGACGGGGTTATTATCGAGACAGGGACCGGCACACTCAGCATGTCGCTTCTCGTCTGAAGGACTACAAACCCCATCTCTCAGTGCGGATTGAATGAACGCGTGGTCATTGACCTACCCTCCTTTGATGTAGTCCAGGAAGGTGACTTCAATGTCCACCAGGAATGACAGCAGCGTCACCTGTGAGTGAGAGGGCGCACCATCAGCACTGAGCACAAATTCAGTTTCACATTCTTACTAATACAATCAATTCAATGAGCAGGTCAATTACATTAAACAGTATGAAGGTACCAGTCTGGACCATCTGTATCATGGTTCTGCATTTCAAATCTAGTTAATGCGACTTTATATATTAAGGAAAACAACAGATGTGATGCCTTACTGTTCCAGAGTTCAGGTATTTTTTCTTCTTCCCCTTCTTCTTTGGATTTACCACCTGAAAAAGACATGATTCTTGCTTGTAACTCCAACATCTATTTATTCATTCATCCATCAAGTCAATCTTTCATTTCATTCACCAAAACCACACAATGTCTTGTCATTTAAGACTGTTTACAGCAGCCTAACTGTACTTTTCTTCAGTAGTATGCCAAAAACTGAAGTGCAATATGAAATAGATTAAATAAAAATGTAATACCCTTTATTCCTCAGGTCGTGAGGAAAAAAGGAAGCTGAAATGTGCGGTAAATAAAATAATAAAATAATAAATAATATCATATTTGGATCGTTGAGGTCATAGTAAAAATCTGTATGCCTCCCTCCCTCCATCTCTCCGTCCATGCTCGAACACACACGCCTCCCTAAACCGGTAACCACCGTGAATATGCCTTTGAGCAATGCACATAAAGCCCAACATAACCAGAGGAGCGGCTAAATCCAGAGGTGGATCGAGTGGTGTGACTTCATGAATATGTAACAGAACACAGAGTGAGTACACAGCCACCCTCCCCTTGGATAAGTAAAGAAACCAGCTGTGCTTATTGCTTTGAGACCCCGTTGTTTTTGTGAGGAGATTAAAAAAGAGACACTTTTTCAACCAAGGCCCTCAATTCACTTTGTCTCTCGTGTTGCCGCCCAAACCCATTATATAAACATACAATTGCTCCTGTGATGTGGGGACCACCCAGGAATCCCAAACACTGGATTTGAGCTTTTAAATCAGAGCTTTATGGTCTCATTATCCTGTGCCAAGGTTAAACAGAAAGAGAGGACCTCTTTGGGAAACAACATACAAATGGATTTATGCATTTCTCCTTGGTTCACATTGCAATGGGTACACACAAGGACACATTTGCCTCTGAAGGTGATTGAAATGTTGTTGTCTCACACACACACACACACACACACATACACACACACACACACACACACACACACACACACACACACACACACACACACACACACACCAAGAAGTGCCTTTAGCAATGCAAAGCCATCCTCTCTCAAACGGACAGCTTTAACTTAGGGAAAGGCCGGGGTCAAGAAACAGGCCAGAAATCACAAAATTACTTTGTGTGTGTGTGCGTGTGTGTGTGTGTGTGTGTGTGTGTGTGTATGTCTCTCTCTATCTGTCTGCTGTTCCTCACCTTCTTGTCAAAGTACGTCTGTGTGCACCTTTGTGTGTGCGTGTGTGTGTTTTGTGCTTGTGCACATCTGAGCGCTGTTAGGCAAACAGCAGCTGTTTAAAATGACAGTCCCCTGTGTGCTCTCCTCTCTGTGTGGTACTCTGTTAATCAAGAAGTGTTGACTCTTCCTGGGAGTAGATAAGCCAGTGATCCATTATCACTGTCAGTGTGTGTGTGTGTGTGTGTGTGTGTGTGTGTGTTGTGTGTGTGTGTGTGTGTGTGTGTGTGTGTGTGTGTGCATCAATGAGAAAGTAAGGGAGATAAAAGATGTACAGTGGGAAAAACGTGGTCTCTTTGTGTAAGATTTTGCTTGGTATTATGGGAGCCACTTTTAGTCATTATTTATCAAAAATATATATATATATATGTGTAATATACTATATATTGGAAATAAATATATAATATATATAGTATTTTATAAATATTTTTCCATGATTTTCCATCCATTTTAGCCTATGCTACTAACTTTTTTAACACTCTGCGACCTGTAACTCGACATGTCTCTTATTTCATGTTTTAAAGCGTCAGTTCACCCAAATCACAAACATATTCTCCGACTTATTCTCTGTTTTGTTGCTTAGCTGAGGTGTCTGCTACCACCCAGAACAACGAAATGAATGGAATTTTGTTTTCAGTGCTCAAAGCAGTTTTAAAAACTCTATAGCAACTTGCCTTGAGACCATGTTACCTAAAATAGACGACTACACAGGGATTGGGATTTTTTTGGGTCAGGTGCGGCCCAACGGAAATGTTGCAGACCCCGAATATATTTAGTGTGATGTACGCAGGTGGGAGCGGGAGATCAGCATCATCATGGCAGGAAGGTATTTCATATTTGAAAATATGAGAGGCTGGTGATAGTGGGCTATTGAGTTAGCGTTGGTTGGGGCTGACGACTATAAATTTGAAAACAAAAAAATCTGGGGAGTGAAATGAGATTAGCAGACCTCTGTCGCCCACTCCTCAGCTCTGCCTGAGGTGAGCGCCTTGAATTACAGACAGACCTGAATCTCTGTTGGTGATTGAGCTGCATTGTGGGTAATGAAGGCACCAGGTTTTATGTGTGGAATAACAAAGACACTAACGCTGGTCCTGCTGCATGAACTTTAATCTTGTTCAGATAAAACTGTCCATCGCGAGTCCAACAACATTACAGGAGTGCACTGCTACTCTTTTATTCTTGGCCACTTTGCATTCGCTCTCCGCTGATATTTTACCTTCTCTTTCTGTGCTAGCTGTGTAGTTGGCTATATACATTTTTATAAATGTCAGTGACATAATAAATTTCCGTTCCTAATCCAACCTGATGTGTAAACAACAATAATACATTGCTGCTCTGAAATCTGATGATGCAGCATCTGGTTTGTGTCCATTACTATAGAAAATGACATGATTAGATAAACAGGAACATGATGCATGATGTTTTTATTTACTATTAGTTCCCTCTGCTTCATGCTAAAGCAGTATATTTTTCTACTTTTAACTGCCATCAGTGAGTCCTTTTTCAGTTTACATCCTCTACAGCTGTCTTTAGCTCAGTAACAGTATTAGAAAATAGTAGTGGAATTTTCAATGTGTTCATTTTCTGTGCCAGAGGGGACAGGCAGGCTGTTAATAAAAATACAGTTGAGCAGGATTTAATTTGAGTAGGAAGAGATCCAGATTAAAACCCAGTGGTATTTGTAGTCCAATTACTGTGTGCGTGTAGGTGACCTGCTGACCTGTACAGTGGTGTAGGCAGGAGAGGCAGCTTTGAATTGAATATAAAAACATACACACACACACACACACACTCACACACACACACACACACACACACACACACACACACACACATGCAAGCTCACACGCAGATAGACACTCTCACACAAACAAACCCACCTCATAGACGTTGAACTGGCTCTGGCCTCTGGATAGTTCTCTGTAGCTGGTGCTGAACTCTCCGATAAAGTCGTGACTAAAGAGAGGGAGACACAGAGGTCAGAGAGGGACAGGACAAAAGGAATACACGAAAAATGTGTTGAGTTTTAAAGCGTCAACACCACATACATTACATACATTTACATTTTCATGTAAACTTGGTTAACCCAAAGAGCTTGTTAAACATTGTTAGCATTTCTCGGTCCCATTGAAAAACATTGCACCATAATGTCATGGTGTTCCCTCCGTCTACTTGAGAATGACACTGAACAGATTACAAAGTATAGAGAAAAGAGAAACGACTCCCTGTTAAACCACAGCATGACAAATGTCACTCCTCTTTCTTTCTGTCTGACTGTCACCAGCCAGAATCCAGACTCATCATTAAGCAGTCACTCTGTGACAATCCTGCACCCAGCGTCCTTACCCATTGAAAACACAGACTAGTGTTAATTATGTGCGTATTAGCCATACGCAGGAAGCTAACATGTTGAATGTTAATGAAATCAAGACAAGAAGTAATAAGGAAAAGTATCGCTGTCTGTTTATCAGTGATTACTAGCTACTGTATGAGGTGATCAGTGCATATTGTATTTCTTATCTGTACAATAAGCTCCAATGCTCATTTTCCTTAAAAGCAAATTCAGTAACACTACAGAAATAGTCTGAACAAACACAGAACAGATGTTGACTGATATATAATGTCTGTCCTCTGTGGAAGCCCATTTCTGCCTGCAAACATCAAGATGAAGAATGAGGGATGACAAAAAAAAAAAAAAAAATCTCAAACATTTTGAGATAGAAAGTAAAAAAATTGAGATAAAAAGTCAAAATTTTGCATTTGGAGATAAATCAAAGTTTTGACTCGGTAAGGTAAAAGATTAACTTTTTTTTCCCCATGACTTACTTTTCTTCTTTTTTATTTTTCTGGCAGAAATAAGCTTCCATAGTCTAGTCGTTAATCCATGATGTGGATTGTGTTGTGTTTCAGTTACTGTCATTTAAAAAGGTTATACGATAGTTTTATTGCAAAAATAACAATGAGTGAAGGAGAAGAATTACCTGCCATCTCTGTCCCAGTCATACACCTCAACCTTGATTGTTCTGTTGGCAGAAGCAAAAGATACGGATCAAGTTAAAAATCATAAAAAGATGAAAAATATGCTGGATATATACAATAAAAGAAAAAGCAAATTCACAATGTTTTTCTAACACGACTAAAAACGTGTTAAAAGGCTGCCATCCATACTGAAATTATAAAATACACTTTTATGCTTTTTCTTTTTTTCTCATTGTTGCCATGAAGCCGTTAGGAGATGCAGATCCATCCTGCAGCTTATCTCTATTCTATAACACACTGTCTGCCTGCCACTGTATTTGCCACTGGTATTGTGCTCCCCTCATCTCCAAATACATCTATTTCAGCATCCCATTATAGCTTACGAGGAAATGGGAAAAAAAATAGAATAGTCTTGAAAAGACAGATATGCTGTGCTATAACTCCATCCAATATCTTCAACAGGAGGGTCATTTCTCTCTGACAAAAGCAGGAGAGCGATACATAGAAAAGGAGAGGGGTGAGGCAAAGAAGATAATAGAGGAGAGACTGAATTAAAACAGAGAGAGTAAGGCATTCTGCTGGAGAGCATGAAGGAGAAGGCAAGCAAGGGTGAAGAGGAGATGGTGCAAAAAAAAAAAAAAAAAGTCAAAACTGACAGAAAATAAAATAAAGACAAAATGATGTGGGACAGATCAAATTTATCATGTACTACTGTGTGAAAGTCTGTCCCCGGACTTTGACTTTTTACTGTACCCACTTTACAACTCAAACAGCTTTCTAAAACAAGTGGGATCTAATTTTAAGTGGTGCCAAAAATGCACTTTTCCATCCTCCTCATCTTTCAATATGAGAGGGTAGAAATAAAAAACCGCCCTTAATGGGCCTTAGAGCTGCTTAGAGAGTCAGATGCACATTAGAGGAAAGCAGGGCAATAACAGTAAGGAGTGGGAATGGGCTGGCTGATAGTGATGGGCACTCTGTGGATGAATGTGTTTCCTGGGAGGTGCAACATTTTCTCCTCAAGAGAAACCAGTGTGTGGAGAGCTCTCTTAATAAATGTGTGTGTATATAGGTATATGCATGTGTTTATGGGCGTGTGTCTTATTAAATCTGTGTTATGCCACATCTCAGTAGGAAACATCCTGTCACTCTGAGCTTTGATGATGTGACAGGAAATAACAATTTCACTTGTTAATCTCACGGCTTCACTGTATGTGTGTATGTATGTGTGTGTGTGTGTGTGTGTGTGTGTGTGTGTGTGTGTGAGCAGAAAGACACAGGTCTCCATTGTTCGCCAGCTTGAGCTCATCCTTATCTCTGTCCCCAGGCTGCAGAGTGGCAGATGCAACGCGTGAATGTGCACGTGTGTGTATGGGTGTGTGTATTGTATGTGCACTCCACTGTGGGTTTCCTCAGTCTCCAACTGATAAGACATAGTGTGACTCAACTCCTCTAATAAGCTTATTGGACGAAACTTCAGATCAATACTGCTTTCTGCTAGCTAAGCTAAGCTAAACCCTATTGTCTGCTTCTTTGTGCCTTTTTCACTACACGACTGCTATTGACACAGGAGAGGGACATAAACACATGATTGACACACTTTTATCTACTTATTTGTTTTCTCACTCAGGCTTCTCCTGAGATATAAAGTGAGCCCCATGTCCCCCACAAGAGAGGGGGCTTTCAGCAATGCAAATATTCAAAAGAGCTGAAAACACATTTTAAATTTAAAGAGAATGCACACAGGGTGTACACTAAAACCTGGGTGTAAATAGCCACATTGGCTATCCACCCCAGGTGCAAATAGCGCTGTTGGCTACAGACACCTTGGTGCAAATAACATCTGCCTCAAGGAACCAGTTCACAACCTGATACAACATAAACAAACCAAAAAAGGACACCAGAGCCGTGTCAAAGAAACAAAAACCTTCCTAAATAAGACAAATGTTCCACACACCAATTACATCAACTGTAAAAATAGCATCCCATGAAGTAAGTAACATGAAACCTGTCCATCAAAGAATCAATAACAGCAAGTGCCATTGACAGCTCCTGCATCCCAGGCAGCTCCAGGATCAGCACCATGGACAGAGGTCATAACCCTCTTTAATGCAGATGAGCCACTATGAGCTCCTGAGCAAGGGAGAAGCTGATCTGCAGAGAGTCTTGAACTCTTTGTGTGTATGTTATGTTTATGTTAGCAGATGAACACAATATTACTTCAGAGCCTTCAGAGTCACATTGACCCGAGCCCCTAACACTGCTACGTTTCAAGTCCGGTCTGCTCCTCTCTGCTGCTGTCGTTCCTTATCATTCATCATCATTTATAGAAGCATTCCTCCAAAATACCTTCACATTTGTGAGCTGTTACATGGAGCAGACACATAAGATTCTCACCCCCAAGCAAATACATATTTCTGTCAATTTTTTTTTTTAAAAAAGGAGTTTATCTTAAATTCAAGTTACAAGCTTATCTGCCAAAAGGCCTGTGGAGTAGTTCCCTGAATGCATCAACTAGATAAGACTGCAGCTACGGTTGAATCAGGAGAAGTCGCACTACGACCAAAACAAGCATTGACTTAGATTAAATAATGCTTTTAGAAAACAAAACTGCCAAACATATTTCAAAATTAAACATCATTTACAACATCACAATCATATATCCACACTTTGTTTAATACGTTTATTTACTCAATCAAAGTTAGAAATTTGGAAGAAAAAGGCATTCTGCGTAAAAAAGGTATGAACAAGCTGTTTATGTGTGCCAGTATCTCATTTAACACTACAGATATCTGATATTTTCATATTGAAAATGATATTATCGCCAGCTTCACTCAGATAAATATGGCTTTTATAACTTGAAAAACAATTAAGTTAGTAATTGTTGTGTGGAACAGAGGTTTCTGTGCCTAATTAACCTCTTTATACAGTATATTATTGTTGAGTGTGTTTTTTCAGGAGATGTAAACCAGAGCCAGCAGTGTTTCATTGTGTGTGAAGTAGTCTGAAGAGGCCATTAGACACAGAGGAACATCCATCACATCCCCAGATCCCCAGAGTTGCCCATAATACCTAGGATGACATTCTCAGTGCCTTTGATACCGAAACTAATTTTCCTGGATGATTCAGATGGTTGTCTGTGTTGTTGTAGTTTATTCACGTTGCCATAATATCTAGTATCTAAAATAGAAATCACGCGTACCTGTCATAATCACCATTGCAAAGAGCCCGAACAGGGATCTTAAAGGCCTGCCACACCGGGTTCAGCGTGTTCTTCACCACCTCTGTCTTGTGGCAGATGGTAAACCTGTAGAGAGAAACAAAAAGGGGCAGAGAGAATGAAGAAAAGGAAAAAGGACAGAGGAGGGGAGATAGAAAAGGGGGGTTGGAAGTTGGAATGTATGTACTTCCGATAAAAAAGAAAAAATACAACTAAAATCACCTTTCACCAACTCTCTGCTAACTGAAAGTAAAGGTGGAGGTCTGTGGACGCGACAGTAACTGCTCTCACACAAACGCGCAGACACACACTGCAAAGAGGTAATTTCATTAGTCCCTTGGCTAGCAGGTAGACTTGGTATCTTCCTCCCTGAGGGCACAAGGTCTTATCTTACTTGTCACACACTGCAGGATGGAAAGGAGAGCCCACAGAGATGGATCGAACACACACACACAGACACAAAATCTATGAGAACAAACCATACCAATGCAATTGTTCAATGCTTCCTGCCTCCCCACACACATACATACACACACACACACACACACACACACACACACACACACACACATACAATGCTCAAACATGTCCACATGTATTTCACACACACACGCTCAAACAGACAGTCTGGCTTTTGTTCTGAGGCAAATCAATGAAACCAATTTCCTTTGGATGCAGGGAAGGATTAAACCAAACATGAAAGAGGAGAAGGAAAGAGGAGAGGAAGAGGAGAGCACTCACGTGCCGTCCTCGTTGCTCCTGTGGAAGACGAGGAATGGATCTGACTTGCCGAAGAAATCCTTCTTGTCCAACTTGTTCCCACAGAACTGCATCATCACCGACTCCTAATGAGCAGAGAGGGACGGAAAGGAAACAGAATAAAATACTTTTTCATGGTGTGCGACCAGATTATCTGTTGGTCTCCGAGGAACATCCATCCATCCATCCATCCATCCATCTTTCTATCTATCTCGTCTGCCAGACACTTAGAGACATCTCCATTTAGAGGCGAATTTCACTTTAAAATGCTTGGATATACTCTGATTTCTGGGCTATTGAGGCTGACTTTCTCTTAGAGTGACTGAATGCTGGTGAGAAAAAAAGGCCCTTTCCTTCAAGGACATGTTTTAAAAACTGTCTTTTATTATTGCCGACTTTCAAGAACGTTGTTTCTCCTACGCTCTGAAGCCCCAAAAATGATTAAACGTGTTCTGAGCCCAAAAAATAGGACACCAGTGATGAAAGGTAAAATAACTAGGGCGAGTAAAACATCAATGAAGAAGAAAAGTTAAAGAAGTTTTAATTATGCTATTAACTGACTTTTTATAACAACTGACTGGAAAAGGAAATAAAAAGCTTTATATTTCTTATTCCAACTACTTCAGTACTATTGACCGATGAACTCAGTTATATTTGTGATTCATCGAATCTTTTATTTCTTTTTGTGGGTGTTGGAGCTTCATACTATTTCATACTAAACACTGTAATAGACATTTTTATGTTTCTCAGACGAATGTCACACAGCAAATCGGGCCAGTCAAAAACTATAAAAAATTATTAAATCGACAAAACATAAATTACCACTTTTAAAGTGTTTTAGTAGAGCTTTTGTTGCCCTCTAAACTTTAACAAAATACTCAAACAAAGGTCAAACAGGCTAGAACCTCTCCATAACACTTAAAATTCAGATAAATTCCCAGAGCTATTGCGTCTTGTATCCGCAGGTGAAAGTCTCCTGCACTCATCTACAAAGTGAAACGTGCAGAGGGGGGAACAGACGGGCAGAGACGGATCAGCATACAGATGCAGAGAACACACAAATGAAGAGGCGCTGGAAAACTCTTCAGAAGTGTACATCCATCCATCCTCACCCTGCAGTTGTTCAGCTCCTCTGCTTTCACAATAATGGTCCCGCATTTCTTCCCTGGGATCCCTCTGTAGACGAGACACACACACACACACATCACAGCAAAGGTTAAGGGATCACGATCGCATGGATGGTGTACTTTAAGTATGAGCATGTTCGTTCACATGTATGTTTCCTCCCGTGTCTCTGCTGTTCACTGCACTTAAGATCAAAAGGTCAAGTTGACGATGTTGTGTAATCGGAAGGCATCTCATATTTCCTGCGTTTATTTCCACTATCTTGACATCAGAAGGGCGCGCGCTCCAGATTAGGAGTCAATGAAAACATCAAGTGTGTCTCATAGAGCTGGAAATAGTAGGATGTGACACTGCAATGTGCGAATTCAGAAAATTCATCGGAAGCTCTAGATCTAGTCCCGTCCCTCTGTGTGCGCGTGTGTGTGTGTGTTTGTGTGTGTGTGTGTGTGTGAATACGCTGCATGTGCATCTATGTGCTGCTTGTTTACTCACTCATGCTTCATACTGATGACCACAGGAGATGGGATGAGCCGAGGCTAAAATAAGATTCTTTCCCAAAAACTAACACAATCAAGTCTTGTGACATTTTTCAATAATTGTGGTTGATTACACACTGCAGGGTGGGGGTGGGGTGGGG